TCCTCATCACTGACAAAACTCCCAACCATTAGCTTGTCCTCATCTGTGTCTGATGACCAATCACTGTCTTCATATATTGCCTCGTCTTCAGCGGGAAATGCAAGTAAAAAAAATCTACAACCACTGTATAAGACGCACCCAGTTTTTAGACCCTAAATTTTTCAAAAAAGGGTGTGTCTTATACATGGGGAAATACGGTATACACTGTTTTTTCCTATACATACATATCTTTTCACTTAAAGGAAGCACTTTGCAGCTTCTCTTTGGCATATCTGAATTGCTAGCATCACTTACTCTGGGCTTTCAGGTCGTTATTAAGTAAATTAAGCACTGTGGGACCGAAACAGTCAATGTGGTAAATGAGACAGCCACTAAGTAACTAATGGACGGGGAGCATCTACAGCATGGGGAGCTGGATGAAGGGATGGTTCATGGCCAGGCTGGACAGCGAGGGACTTCATCACACCACTCGGAATGGTGCACAAATTTACAACTTATGAACTGTTGATTTCTCGAAGTTTCCATTTAATATTTTCGGACCATGGTTGACGGTGGGTAACTGAAACCACAGAAAGCCAAACCACAGATAAGGAGGGGCTACTGTATATAAGACTCACCGTGCTCTGTATGATAAAAACTTTTCATTTTGGTTTTTAACGGTTGTTAATAGAGGCACTCAAAAGAAACAAGTAGATGACAAGATAATAAAAATGTCAAGCAAACTAACTTCTTAAAAAAAAGAAAGTCATGTCCAAGTCATGAGATAGTTCACAAAGTTAAACATGCTGAACCAAAACCTGATTCTAATACTTCATAGTCTTAATGTTTACAAGCCAAAACACACACTTTTAACATTCAAATATACTGATAAACTTCTAAGATGGTTATTTTGGGAAATAGAGGTGACTTTTAAAAAGCTTGAAAGGCAAGCTTCAAACCTGAGATCTCCAACAGCCAAATGAGCTGCAAGACGTATATAAGAAATATTTCATCCTATCTCCCCTTTGGAGAAGGCAAGTGGACCAAATTATAATAATCGAGTATGCAACAGGTGTACATCTGTTTTACTACTGGAGGGGCCAGCAACAATTACCAAATTGTTCTAAAAAATATACTTTATTTAAGTGGCTTGAAAAACATAAGCCACTTGTGTCAGCCATGGAGATAATACACAGCTTGGATCTCCCTTTAAGAAAGAAATTTGCCTTTCATCAGCAGGAAGTCTAGTAGTAGAGCCACCACCGCCCGTGGTGGCTTTGCGATTCATCATACCCGCCTTTCAATTCCTTCATTCCAAGGCCTGGCTCTTCCAGGGCAGCCCCCAGCCAATGACTGAACAGTGGGGACACTAGGGCTGGGCCATTTCTGCTTAAGGAAAACTCATCTACAAGGTAGTCCTTGCTTGGGGGCTCCCCATTCAGTTGGCTGTCTGACTTGCACTGCAACCTGAGACTCTCCTTGCCCCATTCAGTTTCCTCTCCATGTTCCTTTTACAGATGTCAATCTGCATTCTAGTCTAAGGACTGGAATTCAATCTTGTTTGATTCTCGTTTATCTTTACAGACCTTACCCCACAATAAACCTCTTCCAATTCTAACTCCATCTCAATATCTCCTTCCCATACGATATGCCAAGATAATGGCCTCAACTGACACCACACTTCTCTGAAAAAAAAGGCACACGTAGTTCCCCTTCTATATTATAGATGTATCTCTCATATACATCTATAAGATGTAGCAAACAATACAGTAAGTTTAAATTAAACAATTGATTACAGGTAAAGACACACTGATATTAATCCTCCTCAAAATACTCCCCCTTGCTTCTAACACACTTATGCCGTCATTCTTGCCACTTTCTGAAGCAGTTCTGGAAGTCCTCTTTTGTGAGTGTCTGTAGTTGCACTGTTGTGGCTGCCTCGATGTCCTGAATCATTTTGACTTTGGGGAAGAGCCAGAAGTCTCATGGTGCCAGATCCGGTGAATAAGGTGGATGAGGACACACCGTAATGTTTTTATTTTACAGAAATTGCCACATACCAGAAGCGATGTGTTACACAGAGCGTTGTCATGATGGAAGATGACTCGTGGCACACTTTAAAACACACCTTCTCTCAACCGTCGCTCACACCTGAATGACTGCACAGAACAAGTTGACACTTGTCACACACTGTTACTAAGGTTCGACGCGCCGCTTCCCATATTGAAGATCCCTGCCTTTCCATTGGATGGCACTTGGCGGCAACATTCACGGTCCATTGTGATTACAATGGAAAGGCTCCATGTCACACACTGCTTCTGGTATGGCAATTTCTGTTAAATAAAAACATTACGGGGCTGGCCGAGTGGATCAGTTGGTTAAGAGAGCAAGCTCTGAACAACAGGGTCGCCGGTTCAATTCCCACATGGGCCAATGAGCTGTGCCCAGCTGAGCTGCCAACAGGTGGCAGGATGGCTCAGCTGGTGAGAGCATATGCTCCTAACAAGGTTGCAGGTTCAACTCCCACATGGGATGGTGGGCTATGCCCACCCACAACTAAGATTGAACACGGCACCTTGAGCTGAGCTGCCCTGAGTTGCCGAAGGGCAGCTGCATGGCTCAGTGGTTAGAGCATGTGCTCTTAGCCAAAGGTACTGTTGGACTCCCACATGGGATGGTGGCTATGCCCACCTGCAACTAAGTTTGAACACAGCACCTTGAACTGAGTGGCTGCGAGCTGCAGATGGGCAGCTGGATGGCGACTGAAGTTGGAGCTGAGCTAGCTGTGCCCTCCACAACTAAGACTGAAGGACAACAACTTGGCTATTCCTGTTCCCCAATTCCCCAATAAAATCTTAAAAAAAAACCCACATTACAATGTGTCCTTATCCACCTTATTCACCAGATCTGGCACCGTGTGACTTCTGGCTCTTCCTCAAAGTCAAAGTGATTTGCAACATCGAGGCAGCCATGACAGCGCAACCACAGACACTCACAAAAGAGGACTTCCAGAACTGCTTCAGAAAGTGGCAAGAATTATGGAATAAGTGTGTTCGAAGCAATCAGAAGTATTTTGAGGGGGATTAATGGCAATGTGTCTTTTACTGTAGTCAATTTAAATTTAAACATTCACCATAGTTTTTTAGCATACCTCATATATACACACATTCACATACATAACCTCAGCCAACCAAGCTAAGAAATTGTTTTATAGGTTAAATCTATGATACCGCTAAAATTTGCTCTAATAAAAGTTCAAATTTGAACTTTTAATAAATCATTGATGTTTCAGGTAATGTCTTACTTTTTAAGATTTTTACCATATATTTTCAACTTCAATGACTATGCTAGTTAAAGGAATACACAACCTTAATTTAAGTTCATCATATGAATAAAATTGCCAAAAAAAAAAATTGCCCTATAGAAGCATCCATATTATGTTTAACCCTTTCACTATTTCCAGTAGAACTAAATGTGCCAGATAAAAATGGTTAACTATATGGCATTAAAGCATACTAGGAACAAGAATAATGCAACCTTATATTTTACGCAACACTTTAGAATTTACAAAGCATTTCTACATATATTATGCCATTGGATCCTCAATTACTTGGCAGGTGTTAACTTTAGGCTTATATATAAGGAAAATGAGGGGCAATGAAATTATTTGTCTCAAGTCAGAACTAGAATCCAAATTTTCACTAATGGAATTGACCTCAAACCATAGGCAATGATTAACACAGTTGATGACGGTCAATATTTTGTTATTTATTCCTAACTGACCACCTGAATAAAAACAAGAAAAAAAAGTCAGCCTCCATCTTCTCATTATCAAAGATCAAAGCACCAAATTGTCATTATCAAAGATCAAAGCACCAAAGAGCTAGCCTATCAGGTAGTTGATCCCATGAGAACAAATATTTAAGTAACCTCCAAAAAATAAGATTAATAAAATACAATTTATTCAGAATCCAAGAACACTAAGAAAAAAAAAAACACAACACACTGCCTTGGGAGTCAGTTTAGATGATTCTCCACTATATAACCCAACTTATAGTATTTGGCAATTACAAAAGAACTTTTGTGACCACTCAAGCCGAAGAAACTGCAAGATAATTTTTAAAACATCAAATAAATTGAGTGGTTACTTATTATAGTTTTAAAAACAGCCATGTCTTGTGTAAGATCACGATACAGAGTACACTAGGAGAAAGCCTCAGAAAGCTTACCTTTTTCCTTCCAGACACAGTGGAAATATCAAAACACTGAATCTTCAATTTCTAGCCTTCTACAAAGAAATCAACAAGGCCTAAGAAAGGAGCAAGCCAGACATCCCCAGAGGCAACACAGCTGAAGGAATACAGACAAGTAATGTGTCCTCTATATTTTCCTCACCCATAAAACTATTATCTTTCAAACCGACCTCAAAAAGTTACCAATAACAAAATGAGACAATGGATATGGAAATCTTAGTAAAAACTACCCATTGGCTAAAATTCAAATTACCAACTCTAAGTCTCTGAGGCTTCTCAATGATGCTCAGAGAAATCTTACCAAAAGCCTTTTTTTTTTTTTTTTTTTTTTTCCATGACACTGATACAGGTTCTTTTGAGTAAGACTGGCATGAAGTAAAAAATGAATTGTGTACTACAATACTGCATATTTTCAAATGTGTTGCTCTGCTAGTAAATCAATTTACTTTACAAAAATTCATACAAGGTAGGATTCTCTCTTTGTAAAAAATATCCGTAAGTACAATGTTTATCAACATTTTAAATAAAATGGGAGCATTTGCATAAGAACTATTATTAATACCAATATTTAATGCATAAGAACTATTATTAGTATCAATATTTAAGAATACCAGAACATTGACCATCAAACATTTTTGGACGCGTAATCCAGAAAGAGTATGCCTTTGTATTAAAAACGTTCCAGTAAAATTTTATATTAACCATCGGTATACATTTAACAAGCTCCACCTCCCTACTGCATTAGGAGACACTGACTATTGTACTTACTTCTGTATAACATTTTGCAAGCTTAACATCATACCCAGTTCTCCTTTCATCTTTTCTCTGTTAGCACGGCATTCTGCCAAGTATCGAAGAGCCTACAGCAGAAACAGTTAATAGGTTAATTGACACTCAAAATTAAACCGAACTACTCAAAATTAAACCCACTACTAACTTACTGCAAGAGAAAAATAGAGAAATAAATAGGTTTTTGTTTTTAGAATCAATGGGTTTTGAAGTGTTTAGAAACTCTCCTTTAAATATGATAGTCAGAGCAGTCCCCTGGGGAGAGATGATCCTTTGAGCTGAAATAGCTGAATCTGCTCTTTGAAAGGAAGGTTCCTAACTTACCTGCAAGGTCAAAATGAGGCTGTTCCGGTTTTATTTTCACCACTTCATCTTGTGAAGGATACAAGGAACTACTGGGTTGTCGGAAAAGTTGTGACGCATTTTTGCAACAAAAAACATAGAAAAAATACGTCATGACTTTTCTGACAACCCAATATATTCCATTTATTAATCTCAGGGAGTAGCCATTATTTCCCTGGATCAGTTTTACATATGAATTAAAATAAACTGCTGAAAGGGAAAAAACATATAATTACCTTTATGGAATCAACTGCCTCTAGTTTTACAATTCACCTTTAAAATGTCTTTTTACTGAAAAACAAAAGATGAACTCACGCAAATTTATATTTTCTGAGTTCAACTTTTCTTTGGTACTTTTAAGATTTAAAGTACAGTTTTGCAAGTATTTCCTTCACATGCTGATTCTTTGGGGACTTCACTAGCTGTTCTACAGATTTCTTAATCTCACATCATCCACAAAAAACGTGATATTGACTCCCAGGAGAATACCTCCATGACCTACACCATCCAAAACTCTGCGACCTAAATCCACTGACCTTCACATTTTCTACTGGTCCTCTACAATCCATTTCCAAAGTACCTGGTCATTACCGAAAATGGTACATCGATAAAATTACAAATACAAACACCTCTCTCCGACTACAATGTCCTATTCTTTCAGCAACTACTCCTACCTTGATTTTCACTTCAATCCATAAAGGATTAATTGTCATAGAAACTGCAGTCCCTCCATAAAACAACGAATAACCAGGACAACATATATTAAACACAGTGGACAAGAGGCAGCACAGAATTGTAATCCCTGAGACAAGAGAAATTATGAAGTGGGCCCTACAATTCCGCATCTCACTGCTTTGGAGACAGTTTCCAGTCGTAGCACAGGGGGACCCAAATGGAGCCCATCGGTCTTGCTGAGTTAGGGAGGCAGAGATCAGAGGTGGGGAGGTTGGGCTGGTTCAGTGCAACAAAAAATTAGGTCTTAGGACCAAATAAAAAATATCTGGTCTTTGTCTTTCCTGGCACAGAGCTCCTAAAACACGGGGTTTTCTGAGTGGCAGGAGTGTCTTTTGTTATTCATGAAGAGGAAACTGAGCTTCATAAAAAACACTTGAACAAGGCGATTCAGTTTCTGAATTGGTGAATCCATCCACCTGCCAGGAGGGTGGTGAACTCCAACTCCACGGGGACAGAAGTTCCGAGCTCAGGACCCTTCCAGACGTTGCCCTATGTACATGTTCACGTGTATCCTTTATAATAAACTGGTAAACATAAGTAAAGTGGCTTCTGAGTTCTGCGAGCCATTCTAGTACATTATCAAACCTGAGAACGGGGTCATTGCAACGCCCAATTTATAGCTGCTCAGTCAGAAATATAGGTGACCTGATACCAGCAAGTGGCCTTTGAGGTGAGGGCAGTCTTATGGGACTAAGCCTTAAACCTGGGGAGTTTAACACTTAGTTCCACGTAGTTCGTGTTAGAATTGAATTGGATGAAACACCCAGAGGGTGTCCACAGAGGATCAGAGAACTGGCTGGTGTCAAAAAACATCCCAGGCAGCTAGAACTTGCAAAGCAGAATTACAGAAAGGAGGGATGGATCTCCACAGTAAGGACACTCCAGAGACCTCTTCAGGGGGTCCTCAAGAATTTTTGGTTGAATACTGGCTTGCACATGCCTGGGGTAAAAGGCCACAAGGCTAGTAAAAAAAAAACGACCAGAAAGTATGGAAAACAATGTCTGGAGCTCACACTGGCTGGGGAGTTTGTGACGCCACCAGGCAGTCCTCACATGCCAACAGGAACAGGGGGAATCCGCGGAAGAGCCACCCCTTAGTAGTGGTGGTGTCACAGAATACAAGCTGCTGTGGGCTCACTCTACAAAGTCTAGAAGCAAGTCTGGAAAGGACCAAAGTCGGGCCAAGTAACTTAACTTTAATCCAGAACAAAGGTCAAGAATATTCATAGGGACACCAAAAAAAAAATCCCAAACCCAAAACCATAAAATTCGTAATGTCTGACATCTGATTAAAAATTGCCAGGCATAAAAAGAAGCAGGAAATTATGACATAACCAGGAAAAGAAAAATCAATAAAAACACACCAAGATATAACAGAGATGGATTAGAAAATAAGAGAAAATTAGAAAATAGAACAGCTATTATAGATAGGGTGAGTAGGTAAACATTAGCATGGTGAGGAAAAAACGGAAGGTCTTAAAAAGACCCAAATGTAACGTCTACAGGACAAAACATACTATCTGAATGAATAGCACACTGGATAAGATTAACAGCAGATTAGACACTTCAGAAAAGAAAGCTCAGTGAACTTTAAAATGTAGCAATAAAAAGACTTAAAAAAAGGGAAAAAGGCAGTACAACAGTGACTTGCGGAACATGAAATATCTTAAATACAAGTAATCGGATTCTAGAAGAGTGACAAGAAGGAGACAGAAAAAAACTTAAAAAAATAATAAATGACAATTTCTCAAAATTGATGAAAACTATAAACACACATACCCAAGAAGCTCAACAAACCCTAAGCAAACAAAACACAAAGAAAACTATCCATTTCAAGCATATCAGAATTGTTTGCTGAAAACCAGTGATAAAGTCACACAAGCCAGAAAATGCATTATATAGGGTGAAACAAAGGTAAGAATTATGGGAGTCTTATTAGAAATCATATGAGCCAGACAAGGAAACACCACCTTTTAAAATACTGGAGAAAAAGCCATCAGCAAACCTGCAATACAAAAAATGTTGCAGTTCTTCAGGCAGAATAAAAAGGACACCAGTAGAAATGTGAATCTATATTAAAGACTGAAGAATGCCAGAAATGGTAAATATGAGGATAAATATAAAATACACTTGATTCTTTAAATTTTAAAATCTTTAAAAGATAACTGATTAAAGCAAAAAAAATACTGTAGATTTTTTAATATATGTAGAAGTACAATGCATGACAAAAATAGCATGGATGATGGGCAGAGGAAATGGAAATATACTGTTGCAAGCTACTAACATTACACATGAAGTGTATGATTTACTTAAAGGTAGATTGTGACAAGCTGGAGATGCATATTATAAACCTAGAGCAACCACAAAGAAAAAATTAAAATTAAAGGGTACAGCTAACAAGCCAACAGTGAAGATAAAATGAAATTATAAAAACACCTCCTGCTCTTCAACCTCTTTAGCTTTCACCCGCTGACCCCTCCACTTTCTCCTTAGCTCTGTCCCTCCGTGACGACTCTCCTTCCTACTCACCCTCCCATCTACAGTCTATCATTTCAACCTCTCCCTTGTCAAAATCCTAAACTCCCTTGCATGGTCGGTCTATTCAACTTCCCTGGCTAAGAATCAACCCTGAACAAATCCAACTATTTGACTCTTGGGTCTGTAACAGCAGGCCTGACGGGGGGTGAAAAAAAGAGTTTCATAAGCCATGAGTATCCTATCAATTCAGTGTTACAAAACTAATCAGCCCCTCCACACGGGAGCAATCTCACCATTCTCCTCACTTAGCCAACTTTCCCATTTTCCGTAACAACTATGACAGCCTTCTCAAGCTTCCCTTACTCTAGCAACCCCTTGCCTCCTGAATTAAACAGGTTCAAGTTTAGTCTATTTAAAAAAAAAAAAACCCTTCCACTCCAAGTCCCTATCTAGAGACCAACACTCTTTCCTCAACTTTTTAGCAATTCTGATTGAAATAGCACGAAAACCAGGGGTCATGTAAATTTTCCCATGTGTTACTACTGTTCACTTCTATCAATGTCTGTTTTGCCTGTTAAACTTCATTCAATAAAGGTAAACCAGGAAATCTGTATTACGTAGTTTGATTTTTGAAAAGGAAAAACCTGTATCATTTTTCTGTATGAGCTTGTACAATTAAAATGGGAATTTATCATGGCTCCTTAAGTTAAGGGCAGTGAGTTTAAATTTTTCTACTACATTGACTTTCTTTTAAACAGCTTGTTATGAAAATTTCAGAAGACACGAAAGTGGAGAGAAAACGCGTGGTGACCCCCAAGTATCCATCATTCAGATTCAGCAACTATCAACCACTTGGCAATCTTGTTTCATCTTCTATCCTGCCACTAACCACACTGGAGTATTTTATAGCAAATCTCAGAGAACATATAATTTCATTTGTAAATACTTCAGTACATCCCTAAGAAGTTAATGGGTTTTTTTTAATTAACTTAATGATAATACTATCATACCCAGCAACAGTATTAATGGTGCTTTTTTATTATCTACAATCTGATCCATATTCATTCCAAGCTATCTAAAAATATGTTTATGGTTGATTTGTTCAAATCAAGAGCCAATCAGGTCCACATATTACACCTGGCTGATATGTCCCTTGAGTCTCTTTTAATTGATAACAGTTACTGCTATCCCTCTCCTCCACCCCACTGCCTTTCTTTTTCATGCCATCCGTTGTTGATGGACCCCGATTATTTGTCCTGCAGAAATGATCACATTCTGGATTTGCCTGACTGCCTTGTGTTGTTTTTGAACATGTCTGTCTACCCCCCAAATTTCTCATAACATGGTTGTTCCTTCTGCATTATTAGCTATGACCCTGTGTATTTTTCTCTTTTCCTCTCCTTTCCTTATCTTTCCTTCCCATCTTATATTAAAACAGTATAATTCACCCACTGATGAATTTATGCATCATTATTTATGCCAAACGGAATGTGGCATATCCCAATGGAATATCATTCAGCTATAAACAGTAATGAAGTACTACACACGTGACAATGTGGATGAACCTTGAAAACATTATGATCAGTGAAAGAAACTAGTCACAAAAACCACGTTACGTGATTCTATTTATATAAAAATATATAGGCATTTTTGTTGAAATAGGCAAATACAAAAAGAAACTCACAGCTGCTTAGGGAAAACAGGCTGGGGAACTAAAGAACAGGTAAACAGAAAAGTTTCTTTCCGAGGTGATGAAAATGTTCTAAAATTGACTGTGGTGATGGTTGCACAAGTCTATGAATATACTAAAAACCACGGAATTGTACACTTTAAATAGATGATTTGTATGGTGTGTGATTTACACCTTAATAAAGCTGTTACAAAATAAAAACAAGACAATTAAGTGCCTTTTTAATATAAGTGTCTATCTGTACTCATATAATCCTCAAGATTTCTTGTTCAGTGATGAAAGGAAGTTGCAGAACACTGCATGCGTGTAGTTTGCTATGATTTGTTTCAAAGGTCTAGACACATATATGTTTGCACATACAGAAATACAGACTATTATTTGCTCTACAGTCACTTTAAAGTCTTAGCATGTCATCTAACACTTCTTCAAATACTACTTAGTTGAAAATTTATAACACTGAGACTGAAACTATAAAAGGCAACTTACGAGCAAAGCCGAGTGGACAACAGGGGGGTTGGGATGGTCCATAAATAAAATAAGGCCAGGCAGACATCCCTGATCCTGGACAATGGCTCTTCTGTTTAATGGATCTGCCGCTAGGTCCCGTAGCTGGTTAACTACCGATAGTGCATCAGGTTCTTCATTCATGGTGGAGGAGGAAGAATTCATCTTCTATGCCATACACATGAACAAAATCTTCTTCAATTCTGTGACTAAAAAAAAAAAAAAAGAAATCAAATTATTTATGTATGCACAATGTTTAAAGAACATGTCTTCTTCAATATTCCAACAAATTTCTTTCTAGCAATACACATTTTAACACTAAAGTACCACAATAAACAAGATCTTTAGAGTTCAAGCTTGTAACCTTCACTACACTTCTCAAACTGTAATACTTGCCAGTGCTTTTTTTCCTCTAGAACATTTCTGGAGCCAAGGTCAAGTACCTCAGGGAACAGTGGCTAGCTGACAGCTTTTTTTCGTATTCATCTGTGAACAAAACCCAGAGTACTGGGTCTACAAAAGATAAAGTCCCCTAGGAAAAAGGAAAGAGGCAAAGAAGGCAGTGAACAAAGAAACCAAGAAGGGTATCTCGCCCTGTGCCTCAGGCCAGTGGAGTTTGGGAGGTCACGGTGAATCTAAGCACACCTGTTCATCTCTGAGTGTGCCATATTCAGAAGAATGAAATAGAATTTGGGTAATTCATTAGACAGATATGTAAACAGCCACAGAAAAGTTAAATAATTTGCCCTGGTGACAAAATTTAGTACAAAACTGGGCTAGAATCTTATTTACTATCTCCTAAACTGGTTGGCAGTCTTTCCACTTCCCATACAGTTCTTTAAAATTCAGTACACAGGGTATTTTAGAAAATGTAACATGCTAAACATACAAAAGCCAAAGAAACCAAGTACCAAAAAATAATCTTCATGTAAGCAGACAGTTAAAAATAATAACTTCAATTAACCAAGTTACACAATATATTCCTGATTAGGGAGAATCTAAAGGTGTAAATACAATACTTTCCACAAATTAATTAAGTTTAATGGTAATTTCAAAACAATGCTAACTGGGGGAAGGGCTGGGGACAAAATTATAACTCTAGAAAAGCTATTACAGTTGTTTTTGGGGAAAAGGTATTAAGCAGAACTGTCCTTACTATGTATTGAAATATACAAAGCTATTAAGAGTAAAGCAGTAGCGCTGGGGGGAAGATAAAGACGCCTCCAGGAAAGATATTTATACATTCACTATAAGAAATTAGGCTCCCAGTAAGTCAGACCCAGGCTCCATCACGTGGTAACTCTGATTTTAGGCAAATCACAAACTCTTTGTCTTAGTTTCTTAATCTGTAAAATGAGGTTAATTATAGCAGCTACCAAATGGTGTATTGGCCAAATGAAATAAAAGTACATGTAAAGGATTTCCTGGGACATAGTAAATGATCAATAAATGATAGTTACAAGTTACACGAAGTCAAAAATCAATGAAAAACAGAAAGATTATTCAATAATTTGGAATTATTTCTAAGCAATTTTAAAACCACTGCTAAGGATCTTTTAAGCATACCACATGGCAGGAGAAAAAATCATATTCCAGATTAAAATACATTAAATTTATAGTTAAAATTTTTAAGTCTGTAAGCAAATGCAAAATAAAGGACTCAGAGAAAACAGGGCTTTATAAGGATAGTATTTGGCAGATAATTTTCTCAAAGTGAGAATATTATGGTTACTGCAGCAATAAAAAAAAAAGATTTAAAGGAAAACAACAGACTGAATACACAGGGATAAGACTACAGGGTTTGGGGGGGCATGTTGCCTCTTAGGTGCTTCTGTTATCAACAGCCTGAATATTCCTGTTTATAAACCAGCTTACCCATGAGTTTTATGTGCTGTCGCCAGCACAAACCCTATCCAAAATGGAAACTGCAGAACCAATTACTGGCTCAAAGGCTCAAGAGCCAAGTCACAGTTAAGAACCAAATTGAGTGATGGTTTTCTGCCTACAGTGCTGGCCTTGGAACTAGAGCTCCACTTTCATATAAGGAGTCCTTAGAGAACTAACTATTCAATGGGAATGATTCTGAAAAACTTATGGTCTTCCTGTTCTTTTGAGATGAACAAAAGTCGAAAATGTTAAACTTCCAATCTTCAAAGTCCATTGATAAGGAGGTGGCTCAAATAAGGATTTGCCTAGGAAAAGGTTGGGAATACCACACATCACAGGCATCAAAGATCCTAATATAATAAGCAGAGGCAGAAGCAGAGGCCAAACACTGGATTTCCTAGGGCACCTAAATGAAGGCAAGAAAGACAGGCGGAAGCTGGGATGTGCTCCACTAAATTAGATAGGTTTTCGTGTAAAACTTCAGGAGATAACTCCTCTGTGTTAGTTAATTTTTCTTATTTTAATATTCTTGTTATCATTACTCTGAGAAGTGCCTGAAATCCTGTGAAATGATCAATATTTCTGTAGACTGCCCGAGTTCACGTAGCAGATTTTATAAGATAGCTAGGGAACAGCTGAGAAAATGGAAACAGGTAAGCAAAAGATATACTTTAATTCCAATTCATACACTAGGTACATTTAGTATTTTTTTTTTTAAGCAATAGGTATCTTTGGTGGTTTTTTTTGTTGTTGTTTTATTATTATTATTATTGGGGAATTGGGGGAAGGGGAACAGACAAGTTGCTGTCCTTTTGTTCTTCAGTCTAGTTGTGGAGGACGTTGCTTCACTGGCCCAAGTTG